CTCGAGGGGCTGTGCGCGTGGCCAGCACCCCCCCTTCCCCCGATCCCGGACCCCGAGGTAAGGACGACCCCCCCGAACGGGTCGCAGATCCCCCCCGGCCCGGGGTGCCCCGCGGGCAGGGGCTACGCAGGGCCGGTCCGGGGAAGGGGTTGGGAGAGCGCGCTCGGCACGGAGGGCCCCAGCCGGGCCGGAAGAGAAGGCGCCCCCTTCTTCAGTCTCGGCATGGGCTGGGCGTCGGGAAGCGGAGCGCCCGGCGCAAAGAACTCCGCGCAGCCCGGGTCTGACCCGCTTTGTCTCTGCCCTCCAGGCTGCGCGGGACCGGACCGACCGAGCGGAGCCGAGCGGCGGCGGGCACCATGGGCCGAGGGCCGACGACGGCGCCCGGCGCGGCCCTGCGGCGGTAAGCGACCCCCTGCCCGGTCTCGGCCGCGCGCGCGCGGGGGCGCCGGACAGCCACCCTCAGAAGTGGCAGGGCCCCGCGGGCTGACAGCCTCTCCCACCCCTCTCCCCACAGGTGGCTGCTGCTGGGGGCTGCGACCCTGTGCCTGGCCCGGGGCGTCTTGGCGGTAAGTCCCGCTTGGGGTCCGCGCCCCCCGCGAGTGGTTGGAAGGCGGCAAACTCCGTGCCCACCCGGGGGTGCGCGCGGGGCAGGGAAGGGGGGGATGTTTGTGTCTGTCTGTCAGTCCGTCTCCCCTCTGGCGTCTGGTGCTTGGCAGGCAGGCGTCTGCACTCTCACCGGGAGCTAACAATTAAAACGTGGCCCGAGGCGCCTGTTGCTTTCCTCGGAGCCAAGCCGGGGACTTAGCGGAGATTCTCAGTCACTGGGCGGTGACACCCTGGCCACCGGGGGAGGCCGGGGGTGGCTGGGGGTGCGCGGAGACGTCTCCTGAACCCAACATATGGTGGGCCAGCAGTAGGTGTGCAGCGGGCTCTTGGAGGTTTAAAAGGGAGGATCTGGAGACATGGGCGGGGCCAGGGGGGACTAACGCCGCGGTGCGCCGTCCCTGCGCCTGTGAGAAACTTGGTTGGGCCACAGGTGGGAGGGGCCGCGCAGCGCCCCTGAGCCCCTGAACCCCTGCGCCCCTAGGCCAAGGCTGCCCTGTGCGCTCCAAGCACTTTTGTGTGGTCACACCTACCACTTCCGGTGAGCTGTGTAGCTGTGACCAAAAGGCCACAGCCGTGGTGCGATGTCCCCCCCCCCCACACACACACCTATCTGTTGGGGGTTCTTGTGCGGGCAGCAGTCAGTGCCCAGGTGGGCACCCTCCAGGGCATTAGCTTTCCCTCCCCTCCTGGGCTCCGCCCCGCCTGAGCAGAGACTGTGCCAGGACCCTGCTGGGGTTTCACTCCAACCCTTTTCAACCCATCAAAGCCTATGTAAAGCAGCTGAGGACCCCGAGACAGTACTGGGAAATTGCTCTCCTTGGGAGAGAGCAGCCCTCCATCCTGCTTGGTTCCAGAACCCAGAGTGGGAAGAGTGGGAAGGAAGAGGGGCCCTTGGAGAGGGTCTGGAACTCGCTGGAAGCTTGGGTCCGTCTCCTTCTTGTCCACAGACCCACATCTCTATACTGGAACCCATCAGGTAACCCTGTGGGTCCTTAGGCCTGTGTCTCAGATTAGATGTGCCTCAGATTTATGCACATTCCCTCACGCTTCCTTAGGCAGTTCCTAGAGAGCACCGGTACTGTCTGAGAGGGACAGGGCACTGACTTGAAGTCCTTGGACCCAGAGCTGCCATACACCACTGGTTCCCTCCTGAGCTGAGGGAGGCACAGGCATTCCTAGCATCTGGGAGCAATCCTGCTCCTGAACAGACTTCTGTTGGAAGACCTAGGTACACTCTGCAGGAGTGAATATCCTGGTCTGTCACTGAGACCCAGCTCCCTCCTGTACCCCAGTATAGCTCTTGAATGTGTTTTGTGTATGTGTGTGTGCATGCACGCTGAGCCATGCATGCACACCAGTACTGGGGCTTGAACTCAAGCCCTGGGCATTGTTCCTTAGCTTTTTTGCTCAAAGCTGGCACTCTTCCACTTGAGTACAGCTCCACTTCCAGCTTTTGGTAGTTAATTGGAGATAAGAATCTCATGGACTTTTCTGCCCAGACTGGCTTTGAATCAGGATCCCCAGATCTGAGCCAGGTTCACAGACATGAGCCACACCATACCCGCCCAGCTCACTCTGTCTCATTGACTCTCGTTCCTTGCGTGGATCCAACAGCAGAGCTTCGCAGAAGGACAGCTGCACACCCCATAAAGCAGTATTGTCTGGAAAGGCCTGGTAGAAATCTCTGGTCCCTTTCTTTAGTTTCCAGTGGGACTTTGTCAGGGAGCGGGGTTAGTCACCTGTATTCCTACCCAAAGCTAACGTTGGGAACCATTGAGCTGGACTGTTGAGTTGATAGGCAGTTGATGTCACTCGTCAATTTATCTTATTTCTCTGAGGTTTAAATTCCAAATCTGTGAATCAAATAGGTGAATTTTATCATTCTTACTAGAGTCATATTCATGTGAGCTGTCTGTATCTATAGTTTATTGTCTTCAATAGTGCATTGAGCTACTGATTAGCTTCTCATTTACTACTGGCTTGATACCCTGGAGATAATTCCTTAAACCTGAACTACATTCATTCAGTTTTTCTTGTTAGTCAGCTCCTCTCCTAATTGTCTGCTTCAGTCTCAGGGCTCATCCTGGAGCTAGGTCAGTTTAGTTAAAAAATAATAGTCATAAAAAAGCTATCAATTGTATTTGGTGGGACTTGGTACAGAAGCAGCTGAACTAGTTAGTGAACAGTGTGTAATTACTTAATGAGTGTTTCTCCATGTACCAATTTGTGCCCATTAGTACTTCAAAGCCTCCTAGGAAAAGGCACCTGAGACAGGTAACTATTATTAGCCCCATTTTACAGATGAGAAAAAGGGGGTAGAAGTGAAATTGTGCCCCAGATTTCTGTCTTGTAAGTATTCTGGGGTGGGGAGGGGAGGGCTGGGAGCCAGGCACTCAGCCCACACTGAGCCTCTGGCATTTCCAAGCTAGGAGAGGAGGAAGCAGAAACCTCACCAGCAGCTCAGGCCCTAGTGTGGACCACTCACGGTCACCAGCATTGCCTTCGAGCTGGGGCACGCATGCCACTGCCCCTCCTTACTCAGAGGGAGTGAGGCAGATTCTCACAGTGGGTGCCTCCGTACTGTGTCCCAGACCTTGTGTGTAATGGTGGTGGGGCTGGTAAGAATCTCATCTACCTCACAGGACCGCTGGCACGGTGGGTGTGCGTGGAATCATAAGGATGGTATGTCCCACATCCTAGATCTTGGCTTTGGTCCCAATATGAAACATCTAGGCCACAAGAAGAGGAGGATCACAAACTTCCTCCTCTGCAGGCTGAGGAAGGAGGTGGTTCTCCTGGGCAGATTGGAAGATAGAGGATAGTTGATGCGTCCCCAGCATCCCATGCCCAGGGAGGGTAGGAAGGGGGGCATGAATGCCAGACCGGACAGTTGGCTCTGGTACTGTCCTGTGAGTTCACGGAGAACCAGGGAGAGAAAGAAACAGGAGAGATTCAAGGAAAGAGTTCAAGAACAGGAATTACAGATTCTGCCAGAACAATAAAAACCAAACTGGCTAGTTGTGTGTCAGAGAAGAAAAGAAAGTGTGTGAGTCTCGTGCATAGAGGAAAGTTGGGAGAAGAGATGGTGCCTTAGGAAGTTGGGCTTGGTAATGAATGGAGACAGCAATGGTACAAGGCCATTTGAATCTGCCCGGCTCTTTGCATTAAGAAAAAGGAAGATGTATCTTTGATTATAGAGTGTTTTAGGTAATGCTCTGAGGTTGGCCTCTGGCCTTTTCTTGCTGACTTCTTTGGCATTTTCCTCACAAAGACATCAGGTAGAGCTGGGAACGGGGCTAGGCTGATGCACTTTAGGAACCCAGCAAGCTTTCCTTGAGTACCTAGAGTCCCATGGCTCCCAGCTGGCCTGCGCATGGCTCAGCATCAGCTGTTCAACCTCAGGGCAAGTAAGGGCTGCATGGAAAAGTTGAAGAGCTGCTTGCTGCACGCCCTGCGCTCAGGTGTCCTCAGGTGACCCTCGCGCTCAGACCAGTCAGAGCCAGCACCGTTGCCTCTGCTGCCCACCGCTGCCAGCCCTGCAATGTCCTGAGGCCCAGCAGCTGAGCCAGGCCTCCGCTGCCCACTGGGAATGAGAGGTCTTGTCCAGGTGAGCACTTGGGCTCGGTCTGCATCCTGTAAGCTAAAGGAATGTGCTGCAGCAAGGTTTTTGTCTTCTTGGGGTTGAGAAGTTTCTGGAATCTTCCGGAAGGGGGGGAGGTGTTGGAGGAGGGTTCTCCTTGCCACTGTTTGGTGGGTCACTCCTTCCTGTGGATAACAGGACTGCTGGGCTCACAGCCCTGCAACTTGGTTGACTTCTGGGGAATGGGAGACTGGTGATTTTAATTGGGTCCATGAAAGGGGCAATGGAAAGCCACAGGAGTGGCCTCATGGCCTTCCTGGTCCTACTGTTGTGGTCACAACGGAAGAGCAGGCAGCCAGTCCCTCCTCAGTCAAGTCTACCCTGGCCCGGGCTCTGGGACCCCCAGCTCTGGGGTGGGCAGATGTGGCAGCTCTATCTCCCAGGGTTTCTGTCTCTAGAACCCTGGCTCCTAGTGGCTCCCAGGTTCCCCAGCCTGCTCGGGGGCACAGAGCTAGGCTAATTTAAAACATGGAGTCTTTCTGCAAACACCACCTCCTAGGTATAGTGTGGCATCCTGGAGAAGCTCCTAAAACAGAAAATTAGATTCGTGGGGAAACTGGCACACGTCCAAGAGTCTGAGGTTGAACGTGCTCATTTCTTAGTGTGGCTTTTTTGGTTTGGGTTTGGGTTTGGGGTGGGAGGAGTTGTTAGTATTAGAGCTTGAAGTCAGGCCTTTGGCGAGGTGATTTACCTCTGAACCAGCCCTTTTATTTGTCAGTCATGGGGCTTGAACTCTGGGCCTGGGCGCTGTCCCTCGGCTATTCAGCTCAAGGCTAGTGCTCTACTGCTAAAGCCACAGCACCACTTCTGGCTTTTTCCATTTATGTGGTGCTAAGGAATCGAACCCAAGGTCTCATGCATGTGAGGCAAGCACTCTACCACTGAGCCACCTTCCCAGACCTGAAGTAGCCCTTTTTGTGCAGTTTTTTTTAATACAACCTTCTCTTCTGCCCGGGTATATATCTGTACTGCGAACCATCTAGTTTAGGCTTGCCATTCCTGGGATGGCGGGTGCGCACCCCCATGTATAGCTTCTTCTGTTGAGATTGAGTCTTACCTCTCAGGCTGACCAGGGACCAGGATGCTCAGCTTTGATGACAAACATGAGCCACTCTAGTTTTGACAGATGTGCTGCAGTGACACAGGATCTGAGCACATCAGCCTGTCAGAGTGACTTTTCTGCCAGTGTGAACGCCTCAGTGTGAACTCCCTCCATGTTGCCGGCATGTCCCGCTCCTAGATGGATGCCCTGACAAGGCTGAGAACAGGGGGTCTTGGGCTAGTGACCGGCAGGTGTGCCGACCTGCGGGAAGTATTCTT